TGAAATTCGGTGCCACCCCTCACGCAGATCCGCGGGGTCAGGGTCCAAAAACACATGGGATTTGCCACATTTCTGAAATTCGGTGCCACCCCTCACGCAAATCCGCGGGGTCAGGGTCCAAAAACACTGCCATTCAGACCACGATCACCGATCAACGCTGGCAGGGCCTCCCACCGCGCGCCAGGCACTCCGGCCTCTCCAGAGGAAGGGCCCCGCCTGGCTCGACCTCCAGGCAGCTCTGGCGGAAGACGAGCTCCCACGGCCCCTCCCGCGACCGCCCCAGGGCGGCGCGGACGAGGATGCCTGCCAAGAGTACTACACTGGCGACCAGGGGTGCAGGAGGAGGAGGGGGAGGAGGAGGAGGAGGAGGAGGAGGAGGAGGAGGAGGAGGAGGAGGAGGAGGAGGAGGAGGAGGAGGAGGAGGAGTGAACGGCGGTAAGGTGCGGAGGTCGGTGAGTCGGGGACACCCGTCGCGTGAATGATAGCCAGTGGGCCAAGCCCACCCCCTCCTGGCCCGGGCGGGCTTCGGCGTGCACCGCGGCCTTGATCACCGGCCAAATCACTCGGCCCGATCGCACGGCCTGCCGCACTCCGCGCAGCGGGCCAATACCCTCGCCATGCTGCGCCCCGTCGCCACGGCGGAACGAGCGGCCCACGGCCTCGCTGGCAACCAGCCGGTCGTCGACGGCTTCGAAGACACCTCCTCGGGCAGAACAGCCGCGGCGCGCGGGGCCTCCATCGGACCCTTGGCAGAGAAGCCATCGGGCTGAGAAGCCTGATCCGTCTAGAATGCAGGAGGTCGAAGATCACCTCGAGGAGCGCAGCATCAACGAACGCCGCACCACGCCTGTCGCCGAAGGGTTCACCGCCACGCCGGGGAAGTCGCTACTGCTGGGGCGAGGCCCCACAGCGCCATACAGAGCGTGGTCGACGCTGCTACCTGGCGCCACAAGTTCGCCGCCGTACACAGCATGGACGTCGCCAGATGTGGCCAGCGACGCCGCGCGCTCCCTCTGCCCCAGAGGAGAGCAGGGCACTCCAAGCCTGAGCTCTCCTGGCTGGAACCAAGCCGGAGGCGGGGCACAAGTGAACCAAGGATTGCCAAAAGGGTTGCAACGAAGGATTGCAAAAAAAAAAAAACCTTCGAAGGATTGCAAAAAGGATTGCAACGAAGGATTGCAAGAAAAAAACCTTCGAAGGATTGCAAAAAGGATGGCAACGAAGGTCTTTTTGCAATCCTTCGAACTTCGAAGGATTTGTTTTGCAATCCTTCGAAGGTCGAAAAAAAACCCTTCGAAGTTCGAAGGGTTTTTTTTGCAATCCCTCGAGGCGGGGCGCGAGGGAACAGGGAGGGCCGCCTCCGATGGCAGGGCCACGAGGCCCGGACCAAAACTCCACGAAGTCGAGGCCGAGGACCCCTGGTTGACGGGGCCCCAAGGAGGGAGGAGGGAGGAGGGAGGAGGGAGGAGGGAGGAGGCAGGAGGGAGGATCTTGAAACCCTCGCTGAGGGGGTGGATCACCAGCCACGGGGTCGAACACACAAGTGAATATACACAAAAAGAATAATTCCCCATATTTTCCCGTCTTTTCTGGGCTTTCGTCTTCCCCCCCACCTCCCAGGTTTTCCCCTAATCTCCGGGGAATCGACGATTCATCGTGTCTGTGTGTTTCGTTGCCTCCGGACTGGTCCCAGACCACGAACGACCTCGAAGCCGACGACCTCGACCCGCCAAACGGGGCCTCCTTCAACGCAGGCGACGGCTGCGACTTCCTCTCGCTGCGCCAACCCGTCGGCAAATGTCAGCACTGCCGAAGACCACCCGGACGAGACGGCAAACCCGCAACCGCTCAACGCTCAGGAGCGGCAAGGCACGTTGGCCAGCCACCACTCACACCTTAACGCGCCCCCCATGCGGTCGACCAGGGATCCGACGGTCCGACGGGGACGGCCGCGAAACCAGGGATGACGGCCACCACGCCAGCAGTATCGCGCAACGCACGGACCACAGGCAAGCCCCCATGCAGCCCCTCACTGCGGCCAGCGGCCAGCGACAAGGAGACCGCAAGACAGCTCTCACCGCCAGCATTCAGGCGCTCCACCAGCGAGCCAATCGGCCGGTTACCTCTCCCAACCAAATCCAAGAACAACCGGCACCGCCGATCGACAGGTTCCACCGAGCGCAGGAGGTCTGGAGCGGCCTGCAGCAGGCCTTCCGGCCCGCTGCGGCCGTGGAGGCGCCCCTCCACGGCAACCTCCAAGCCTCCCGTGACCCTCGAAAGGCGGCACGCCAGCGCCGGCCCCTCTTCTTCGCCGAGGCCTCGCGAGCTGCTGGGCGCCGGGGGGCGCGTGCCAGAGCCTGCTTGTTCCGCCGCCTCTCTCTCTCTCTGCACGGGGGCGCAGACGGGCCCGCGAGAGGTCTGCTCGCCGCCGCCCGCCCGCTTCTCCAGACGGGGACCCCTTCAGTCCGAACCACGTCGGCCAGAACCAGGAGGAGGAGGAGGAGGAGGAGGAGGAGGAGGAGGAGGAGATGGAGGAGATGGAGGAGGAGGAGGAGGAGGAGGAGGAGGAGATGGAGGAGATGGAGGAGAGGAGGAGGAGGAGGAGGAGGGGAGGAGGAGGAGGAGGAGGAGGAGGAGGAGGAGATGGAGGAGGAGGAGATGGAGGAGGAGGAGGAGATGGAGGAGGAGGAGGAGGAGGAGGAGGAAGAAGCATAATCATACCACCACCCCGGTTCCATGTGCGGCGCCTCCTGCTTGTGCGAGGAAGGCCCGCCTGGCCACGCGGGGCCCCTGGGGGGCCTGTACGACCTGTCGCCCCAACTGTTGCGATATCCTCCCTCCTCTCCTCCCTTCCCCCACCTCCTCGATCCCTTCCACGTCCTCCAGCTCCTCTCCTCCTCTCCTCCACGTCCTCCACCTCCTCTCCTCCCTTCCTCCATCTCCTCTCCTCCCTTCCTCCCTCTCCTCGATCCCTTCCACTTCTCCCTCCGCCCTGCACCATTCGCAGCCAATCAGTCGTTCCGCCGACCGTTTATCCTCGCTGCTTGGTTCCTCCTCCCCCATCACCCCATCATCCCTCGTCCCCTCCCTTCCCTTACCTCCACGCTCGTCCACGCCCTCAGGGGAGAGCTACGGGAGAAGTCGTAGACTGCTGTGAGGAGGCCGCGGCGAAGTCCTGGCCAGCAAGCGAAGAAAATCTGCCGACATCCCCTTTGCGGGGATGTCCCCCTCCCCTTTCCCCCTGCCCCATTCCCCTTTCCCCAGGGTCCAAACTCCCGTCAGAGGAGGGGTCTGCGAGCTCCCCAACGCACCTCTGGGGCTCTTGGGCCTCCAACTCCAGCTTTCGACGCTTCCCAGATGCTCCGGGTGCGCTCTGAGAGAAGGTCCAAAGCGCCACGCGGCCTCACGAAAACCCACGCTGGCCACAAAACGGTTCTGGGGGCCCGCGAGACGCCACGATATAGCCCCAAGAGGAACCCCAAGAGAGGTCTCGAGAGGCAAGAATCAACTAGTCCCTATAATGTTTGTCTGGATTTCGAGTTCTCGCCTTCTCGTGCTTCGGCAGCAGGCCCGCGGAAGCCTCCCAGGCCCCACAAGGCCGACGCTGGGGACGAGGCGAGACGCACTGACACGACGCGGTGGAGCGTGTCACATCGTAGGGCTCCCCCACGAGCCTGGATACTCAAAGTGTCGCGTGGTACGGCCTCCTGCGCCCCCTCGAGCAGTCGCCATCCAGAATGCTAAGCTGGCACGGTGGCGGAACTTGTCGCATGCAGCCGGATGACTCCTCCCCGTCTCACCTCCAGACATGTCCCTCGGCCTGGAAGGGCGTTTCGCTTTGAAAGTTGGGCGGGGGACGCTTTCGAAATGTGGGGTCTCAGCTTAGCGCCGCACACATTCACCCCAAAAGCTTGCAACAGTGATACGGATGGAGGCCATGTCCATTACAAAATATGGGTCTTGCCTTAGCGCCGCGCACATTCGCCTTAAACATTGTACAGCAAGTATGCAAGTTGAGGGGGTCGTACCCCCAAACAGGCTTGTCTTGTCTAAGGAGCTATGACTTGTTTTTGAACAGCCGGTGGATAAGAAACCTGGGTCCATAAGCAATCCCTGGGTTAAGAGGCCTTCCTACTGTTTTTGTTGGAAAAGGGCTTCCCCGGGTTGCTTGGTCTTGTTTCTTTGTTGTTTTTGATAAGACCTTCACGAGTTGCTTGAGTTTGTGCCATGTTTGCGTTTGGACAAGTGCTTTTCGGGCTTCTTGATCTTGTTGCCAACCAACGCCAAGCAATGCCAAGAAATGCCTAGCAGCGCCTAGAAAAGCCAAGCAACGCCAAGCAACGCCAAGCAATGGCAAGCAACGCCAAGCAAAACCAAACAATGTCAAGCAACGCAAATCAACGCCAACCAATAGCAATCAATGCCATGCAACGCCAAGAAACACCAAGCAAAGCCAAGCAACGCAAAGCAATGGCAAGCAATACCAAGCCAAGCAGCGCCAAGCAATGCCATGCAATGCCATGCAATGCCACGCAATGCCATGCAATGCCAAGCAACTCCATGCACTGCAAAGCCAAGACATGCAATGCCAAACAATGCCGAGCAATACCGCTCAGGAAGTCTTCCCCTACTTGGGATCGCGCTGGGTTTATGTGTCGCCTAAGACTGCGTCATATTGCATAACCATCAATGTAAGGTTGCACGACAGCTAAACGGATGGAGGCCAGTTCCTGCTCAACGTGAATATCACGTTGGGCACCTCTTTGATGTTGTTCGGGGCGTTCGTCTGTGAGGGTGTGCGTTTCGAGAAGCGGAAATGCGTGTAGGAACTGATGGGGAGGGCACTTGGGACCGGAGGGTGTTGAAGCATCGCTGATACATCATGGGTCTTCTCTTCATGGGTCTTCTCTGGTCCTCCTCCTCCTTCTCCTCCTCCTCCTCCTCCTCCTCCTCCTCCTCCTCCTCCCCCTCGTGCTTCTTCCCCCCCCCCTCCAGACGCG